GTAAGGGTCAGTCAGTCAGTGAGTCTATGTCGAACGACAGTTAGTCGAATACTAAAGTATCAGCGACCACAACTAGATTACTCTGCGTTATACCTATTATATCAAGTTCCTAACGTTTTGTAAGTCGAACTTAGGACCGACTTAGTACAAATACAAGCCTCCACTGTGAAATCACTCCACAACACCCAGTGAGCGAAATAAAGGGTTCAGTTCGACATTCCAATCACCCGAAGAAGGCCGGAGCGTTGTAATAAATATGGCGACAAAGATGAGGACAATAGTCCGAATAATGTAAATAGTGTGCATAATACGTCATATTAGAAATATATACATATATTATAAAGTATATAAAATAAGCAATAGTCACAAACCTTTTATAATCTAAATAAATATATTAAAGTTTAACGGGATACGAAGAGACTTTATAAATTAAGTAAAGTTAATAGGATCCGAATTTACTATCTAGTATATCGTTGTTCCTTCCGTAGTTCATTGTTCCTTTTTAATCTAACTTAAGTCATTGTACAATAGTATAGATCTTCTAGATGCTATAATATTTTGTTCATCTTCAGTGATATCAATGTAATTTTTAGCTAAATTTAGGCTATTTATTAATAATTCCAACTAATAATCCAATAATTTCTAACTACTTTATCCAGGCAATATTGAGATCTAATTGACAAAGTTCTCACTCCACATTTGGACTGAAAATTCATATCCAGAACTCGGACTCCTAAGAACTTCGGGGACCGTTGTGACCTATGTCTTCAGGAGAAAACATTTATAATTAAATATAAAGACCAGGGGGAGTTACTGAACCTTCAGCGTGAACTAATATCCAAATGCAATCACAAACATCGGCTTAAAATATAAAAGAACCACTTCTGCTGGTTTGGTTACTCTTATGGCATATCAACCTCAATGGGTTATTTAATGCCGAAAAATTTTTTGTTGTTGGTAATATTTTTTTTTCAAAAATCTATTTCTGGTAATATTTTTTCTGCAATAAACACTATTTCTGGTAATATTTTTTTCTTCAAATATGTATAGCTGATTATATTTTTTTTTCAAAAATGTATCGCTGGCAATAATTTTTTCTTCAAAAATGTATTGCTGATAATTATTCATAAAGTATTTCTGGTATTAAAACCTATTTTTACACTTTCATAGAGTTTTGACCCCAGTTTGGTTTGGTTTGGTTTGTTTTACGGTTCGGACTGTTTTACGGCATATCAACCTCAATGGGTTATTTAATGCCAACAATTTTTATTGTTGGTAATATTTTTTCTTCAAAAATCTATTTTTGAGAATACCCTCCCTCAAAAAATGTATATCTGGTAATATTTTTTTCAAAAAATTTATAGCTGTTTGTATTGCTGATAATTTTTCCTTCAAAGAAATATTGCTGATAATAATTCTTCTACAAAGCACTTCTTGTATTAAAACCCACCTCCACACCTTCATAGCACTTTGACCTAAGTCCAGGCGTTAACCACCTGCCCACAGCTGGGACCCAAACAGGTGCCACCACCCCGGGCCAGGGCGGACCCGGGAACATCAGCAACCAAGAATTCCGATCAGAGGCCCCGCTGCTGAACGTAGTTCACCGTCTCACCAAGGATGCGGACGTAGTTTATCGTCATACCAAGGACGGCCACTTCTCCTGTATTATATAACATCAGATATAACATATATTAATGTATTCAAATCTGTATCTCCATTAGATTGATGCTGTTTCGCATGTTTACATAATACGAGTATGTGTAGATATAGATAAACACATGTATAGTGCTCATATTCTGTATTGATGTTAACCACGTGTATTATGTATTTATTATTTGTTTCCGCTTTTAGAAATCTGATGTTTCCACTGTGACTGTCATTAATGCAATGTATATATTAAAAGTAGAGAGTGGTTAAATATATATTTAGGCACTACATGTTAATTTATATAAAAAGTTTCTCGTATAGATAGAGATAAGGATACTTATTGAACTTAAATCTGTGAACTTTTAAACTTAGTAGAGATATACTAGATAGGCAATTCGGATCCTATTAACATTACTTAGTTTATAAAATCTCTTTCTATCCCGTTAAACTTTAATAAGTTTATTTAGATTATAAAAGGTTTGTGACTATTGCTTATTTTATATACTTTATAATATAATATAGTTTTTCTTTATATAAATATAAATAGATACTTTTCTATGTATATTTTCTTCTTTATACCTTAATGTTTTTTATGAATTATTCATGGAGAATCTCATGGATAGTTATATATTAGAAAACACACATAAACACTCATATATATATATATATATATATATATATATATATAATTTTATTTTCAGTAGATCCTTTTTACGTTTAAATTGAAATCTTTAGCTAGGCTGTGAATGTTTTTCTAATATTCTTAACGAACCACTATTTTAAATATAAGTTATAAAAAGTTTTTTTTAAGTTGAATACATGTGTCAGAATCTTGATCGAAGCAGGATCCAAACAGAATTTCGATTTTACACTAAAAATCTTTTTTTCAACTCTGATCTACCCTTTATTTTCCTTGATTTCATCTTATGTAACGACTTATGTCCACAATATGTCTGTTAAATTAAGTCACCACGATCCTAATGTCAGTTAATACAACTGAGATGAACTCTTTGGGGCTCATTGTCAACTCATGTATACACACCATTTCCTTCCCTCTCTTCCTATACGATAATAAAATTACATCTTTCTTTCCCCCACTCTTTGAATATGAAATCACTATTTTTAATTTTTAAACCTGGAGTGGATTTTTACATTTACATTTGGTTTACAGGTCTGATGATTTGAAGGCGTTTTTTTACCGACTTCAATGAAATAAATATCACCTATGGTTTTTCAAGTGTTTGTTTTTCATTATATAAAATTTTTTGCTCTGTCTTTTATCATTAATATATATATATATATATATATATATATATATATATATATATATATATATATTAGGACCTTGAATAAGTTCTTGCTGTTTTCCAACAGATGGTGTTCCCAAAACTGCGTGCGTGTAGTTTCAGATGGTAACGTATCTATAAGGAAGTACTATAAGCAAGCTTGACATTCAGTGTATGTCATTTGGCCGAAGTGCAAACAAATTTGTTTTTCACAGGGTTAAACATATCAGATTTCGTGCCAAAGAAAGTGTATATGTGGGAAATTTCACTGTACTACTTTATTCAAAAGAAATCTGCAGCTGAAGCACGCATTATTCTTGTTGAGACTTACGGCGACAATGCTATGTCAGAAACGACATGCAGAGATTGGTTTAGACGCTTCAAAAATAATGATTTTGATGTTGAAGATAAAGAACGCTCTGGCGCACCAAAGAAGTTTGAAGACGAAGAATTGGAGGCATTACTTCATGAAGACTCATGTCAGGTGCGAGCTAAACTTGCAGAATTATTAAGAGTTGATCACGCAACAGTTTCGAAACAGTTACGAAAACATTATGAATGATTAAAAAGCAAGGACATTGGGTGCTGCACGAGTTGAAACCGAAAGACGTCGAACGGCTTCTTGTCTTGTTCTTGAACGGCTGCTTAGAAGATCGTGGGATAAGCCTGGCTATGCATCAACATCGGTGTCAAAGCCAAATATACATGGTTCGAAGCTTCTACTCTGCATTTGGCGGGCTCAGCTGGGTGTAGTTTATTATGAGCTTCTCAAACCGACCAAAACCATCACAGGAGATTGCTATCGACTATAGTTGATGCGTTTGATCCGAGCATTGAAGGAAAAACGGTTACTATACGAGCAGAGACACGACAAAGTGATTTTGTAACATGACAACGCTAGGCCACATGTAAAACGGGTGAAAACCTACCTTGAAAGGCTTAAATTGGAAGTCCTACCCCACTCACCGAATTCACCAGACATTGCTCCGTCCGATTATCAGATCGATGGGACATGGTCTGTCTGAGCAGCACTTTCATTCTTATGAAGATTCCAAAAAATGGGACGACTCGTGGTTATCCTCAAAAGACGTGTCGTTTTTCCGATGTGGAATTCAATTACTGCTAGAAAAATTGGAAAAGTAATAGCTAGCGATAAACAATAGTTTCAGTGATATGTTTCTTACTAACTTTTGTAAATAAAACAATTTTCATGAAAAATCAGCGAGAACTTATTCAAGGCCCTAATATATATATATATATATATATATATATATATATATATATATACACGCACTTGCATAATATTTGCATTTGCTTGCCTATTTTATTTACTGATAAGAAAATCGTTTGAGTAAATAAAACGTTATCACAATAAGACGAAAAAAGAGGCTAATTTCAAAAGGTATTTTTGTTAAATTTGCAGCAAGATATTCATTGTTTTTAATTTTTGTGCTAAAACTTTGAAAGCAGAACATAAACTATCAGTGCGAAACGACGAATACAAATACCAGTTTGATAATGAAAAGACTATTATGGATTGCGAAAAAAATGCCCATCTGCGAAAATGGCCGTATAAGATATGAATGAAAGGAGCTTGTAGCTAATGTATATTCATTTAACAAGTGTCACACGTGATATTTAGCACTATGAATTTATCATTGATTAGCGCAGATAGCAAAAACGAAATTTTTGAATACTGATTTTCAGTCTGGTGCTGATTTTCAATTAGAAAAACAAGGCAATACCAATTTCTTCTCCTTAATCTTTTAATTTTACTACCTTGTAAGCGTCGACAACAGAAATATAGAGGAGGACGAATCCTTATATTGATTGATTCGTTTTTTATAGCTTATCAGCACTTTTCAGCCAGATAATATTTTAGATTGTAGAAATTCTTTTTGAGATAATGGTTTATTGAAACAAGTTTTATTAATTAACCCATAGCTCGGTGAGTACCTTTCCCAAGGATATTGGTAAGTGAATATAACGAGTTCAACTGGAATTAGAACTGGGCTCTCCGACTGAGAATTCAGAGTTATTATACATTACACCACCCACACATACCAGCTTACAGCATTCCCAAGCAGTCACTCATCTAGGTACTGTCCAGGGGCGACGTTGTTTAACTTCGGTAATCGTACAGGAACCGGTGTTTCAACGTGATGTGGCCGTAATTGAATTTGGTATTCAAATGATACTTATTTATGATGAGTTAGAAGCCATTGTCAAAATGAAAGATAAATAACATGAACAGGATTAATAAAGGTTGCAATGAAAAGAAAAAAGGTAAAAAAATGATGAAACTGCGACAATCATGCAAACAATATAGTTAAAGTAAATCAAACACGTAAGAAGGCAAAAGAATTCATAGACTATGAGTTGGTGTTTGTACACAAAAGCAATGTCGAACATGCGATTGCAGTAGGTCTGTCTAGTAGTTAAAGCAGATCTAGACGATATTTATTCTGAATCATACAGAATTGTGGCACAAGGCCGGGGTGGAAGGGAGAAAAATGGGGGATGGTCTTCATTAACTATCCGAGTCCTAGTTAATCAAATTCGCGACCCATTCAATCATTACAATTTGCTCATTCACCAAAAGAAATTGTCCATCAACTATCGATCCTACATTTACCAAAATACCGCATTAATTTTTTTTTTTTACCTTTGGGTTTTTTTACAAAAATTTATAAAAAAAATATGATTCTCGTAATGATGTGGAGGGAAAAATAACCCCGAAACAAACTAAAATTTAACACGAAGATGAAATCAAAACATATGTTAGTAGGACCCGTCCACCCCTCAAAATAATAAGAAAGGCCGCTGTATTCTGCCACTAGACAGAATCAAGCAGCACACTCACTAACGGAATGGGGGAGGGAAAAATAAATGACGGAATGGGAAAAATCAAAGGCTGGCCCAGTCGAGATGAAAAGGGGGACAAAAACAAACTTGGGAATTAGGGAATCTCGATATGGGTCATAACAAAAGAGAGAGCCGGGAACAGGCCGGGAACAACACTTATTCATATTAACTAGGAAAATAAAATAGTGTCTAACTTAACCAGACTCGCCTCAGTCACCCACCTTTCACTGAAATCTGTCGAAATCAAACGCTTTCGATCCGATCTTTACCCTAAGCTGATGCTTAAAGAAAACAATCAGATCCAGAAGCGAATAACGTTCATCCCGGAAGATTCCCTCCTTTCGCGTCATCCACACCACTATTCTTGCCACGGCTATCAATGTCAAAAACACCATTCGTTTTAACCCGGAGAACGTCACAGGCGTACGCGAGATCGATGGACACGAGCCGATCGGGAGCGATACGAGCCGTCAACTCGCCGACATACTCCCAGAAAGGGCGTATCTGAGGACAATGGTAGAAGGCGCGCGAAGCCGTTTCCTCCAAGTCAATGTCACACCGATGACAGTCTGGCAAATCTGCCTGGCCCCATCTGAAGAGTACGTCATTGAGACGTAGCACGTTCCGAATCAATCGCCAGCTAAGCGAAAACTCAGGGTTACTGAGATAATCCACCGCTGGCGCCCAAGACTAAAAGGAGCTCGACTCCGATGCCGTCAAGCCGAGCCGGTCACAAAGAGTATACTTCGCGACCCCCTCCACTAATTCATGATACAATAGTCTCCGACGCCAAGAAAGGTCACTGGACCGAGGAATAACCTTTAAGGCCGACTGACACGTTTGCCAGGTGTGGAAATCCCAGCCCCCCATGACACGGACGCTGGTAACAGGCTTCTTTACGGACCCAATGTTTGCGTCCACTTCACAAACGCCCAATCGCCTCCATACGTTTCCAGCAAATAGGAAATGCAGACAAGCGGTAAAGGATGAGGGGCAAGACGTAAGTGGCACACGCCTCAGCTGTCCGAACCGACGCTACGACCTTTGCCTGTACTTCTGACCAATTCTTCTTCAGCGCGATCCCCTTATAGGCACCTAACCGCAACCCGGAAGGCTTGTTGCGGTTAATATTGGCCCCCATCACCTTCTCGTACCGTTCAAGCGGCTTCTGCACCACCTTAATGTCGCTGCGGCACGACACGAAGATGGATACGCCATCGGCGTACGCAGAAACCCTAGCTCAAGCACTACCAGGGAAAACGGTTATTCCGCGTAGGGCCGGACTGCATGCCTTGTTCCTTAGCTGGCGAAGGAAGGGCTCCAACGCCAATGCATAAAGTAAGGGCGACAGCGCAAAAGTGCTCGACCGCCTGTACCACAGCACTGGGGGAGCGATACAGGAGGCTAATCCATCTGCAGAATCCGGCGGCCTGCAGGACATCAGCCAGGTACCGATGCCGACCTTCTTCAATGCCAAGTAGACTTCTCCGTCCGTGATCTCACCCTCGCAGCTAGCCGCTTCAGTCGGCGAAAGCCGAGGAAAGTCAGCGTAAATTGCTGCAAAACTCGTCGCCACTGAGACTTCTTCCTTGGTAAAACGGCTCTCGAAATGCCGCCGAAACGCCTCGCACATATCCTCGGTCGACCTCAGAGAGCGCCCCTCCGATGTAATGACCTTGCGAATATATCGATCGGAACCTCGACGGATCTCTTCCTTGCGCAATTCTGCGCCCATGTTCACGGATTTGTTAGACATCTTGTTTAACCTATGTCTAACTACCTAACCCTGGTAGCGCTTGCTAGCCTCACGCTTCAGGGCCTGCCTAGCTCCGGCTATCTCTAGGGAATACACCCCAGCCACCGTCAGGGACAGACTATCCTCTAGAACATTCGCCTTTTTAGCCTTATCTAGAGCGAGTCGTTGGCTGTATTTAGTGGTGAAGGACCTAATCTTATCCTTAAGCCTTTCCCACCATCTACTCTCAATAACCACACCACTAGTTCCCGCTGCACTAATCTAGTCAGCTGTTACTGAAAGTCCCGCCTATCCAGCAAGGACACGTTGAATTTCCAGTGTCCAGCCATTGTTGGCCTAACGCCTAACACCATCCGGGCACAGACGAGTCTATGGTCCGAATAGTCTAACCGGTGGAACATGGGACAATCTAGTAAATCTAGGTCGACCCTTCTCACTAACATTCTGACCAGAGAGAGACGGCCAACTATGGGTTCGCGTCCACATCTCCACCCTCGGATGATCGATCCGGTATCTATCGACGAGCCCAAAGTCGCCAATCAGATCAACCAGGCTACAGTGGCCCGATGCCTTCCCGCTAGCACCCCGCCCCCTATCTATCTTGGGGTCCAGGACGGCATTCCAGTCACCCATTAAGACTAAGCGCGAAGAATTAACCAGAAACGGCACCACCCGACGGAAAAAGTCGACACGCTCATTCTGGTCATTGGGCGAATAAACCGCAACGACCCGAAACGAACCACTGCTTACAGCAATATCAGCCACGATCAACCGCCCCCGCGTCGACATGAACAAGGTCTACCGTTGCATCCAGGGTACGTTTAACTAACAAGGAAACACCTCTGGCCTGCTGGTCCCCGTATGGTGAATAAACAACAAAGTCGCTAGACAGAACACGCGCATCAACGTGCGTTTCCTGGTTACATCTACGCCAAAGGACAAGAGATCCCGAAGAAGACGGACAGCCTTACCCCGATCCTTCAAGCCCCTTACATTCAGGCTGGCTAGCTTGATAGACATAATTTAAACGTGATCCCCTAAACGCAGACTGGACGGAAATCTGCGGGTTTCAGGACCCCGACGGAGTGTCCCAGACTTCCTGTGCCTATGTCGGACGTAATTCGTCCCTCTAAGACAATGCCGCCGACGTCTGTAGGGTAGGTTAATTTTAGCGTCCTATATAAACAGGAATGGAGAATAACCAGGTCCCTCATTGCGCACATTTGCGACATTTTTCGTAGCTCTGGAGAGCCAAGTTGCACCATTTTTATATTAGGCAAAGCGTCCTTGGCCTCCGCTAAGTGATTCCAAACATTCAGACCCCCCACCGTGTTCCTGATGAAAGTCGTTACACCAGGTGCTTTTGGAAAGTTTCGAGGGTCCTCCGTTGACTTGCCGTCCACAGAGGTACATTTAATTAAATGTCTTAGTAGGGCCTTCTTTTGCACTGAGAGGTCCCTTTTCAGGGCCCTTCTGTCCACCTGGCAACTAGCCACCCCTTCAGGGAAAGTTTTCTTTTTCTTGGGAGGGCTTTTTCTTTTTTCCACTGAAGAGGGGCATACTATGGGAGAGGGAGATTGCAAAACTTTAGTGGGAGAAGTGGGAGGCTCATAGTCCTATTTTTCACTGTGTCTTTTCCCTTAGTTGGCGAGGCGGGAAGCGAATGGGACCTGGGGTAATCTCTGAATCTTTCCACCCTGCTATGATCAGACGTTTTTTTCTTTTTTCAGAAATTTCTCCTCTTACTCCTCGTTGTCCACCTCATCGTCCCTCCCTCTTTTCAAAGAAGAAGATCTAGGTGGAGACATGACCTTTACCTCCATAACTATATCCAGTAGCTGGTGCCCAGTCTGCACTTGTAAATCTTCCTCTAGTTGTTGCTGGTATTGTTGTTGTTCCAGTGGCTGTGCCTCTTTTGTTGCTGTGCCTCAATGGCGTTGATGCGTCTGGCGTTGTTGCTGTGTCTGTTGGCACTGCTGTATTTCTTTGTGTTGCTGTGTCTCTTCAATGCTGCTGCCGGGCCTGTTGCTGCATCTGTTATTGCTTCTGCTGCTGCTGCTGAGAAGGCTTCTGCTTTGGGCTTTGTTGTTTATGCCCCGGTGAGACTTTCTGCTGGGGAGATGGAGGAGGGGTTGTTGCTTTGCGTCCCGTCCTGGTCACCTGTTGTCACTCACTGGCATCCTTAGGGATGTCATTGAAAGTTTTCCTCGTTAAAAGCACATGCACGATAACATCCCCGGTGGATATGCCTGTTTTGCCTTTCGCCGGCGTGACGTCAGCAATCTGTCCAAATTGGGCAAAAAATGCCCCCAAATGGTCCTCAGATATATCCATGTGCACCCCATGTAACGTAATCTTAGTCTTGCGGGTGCCCATGTACACTGTTTGTAGTCTCAATGATTTCGTAATGAGAATACTCCCAGCTAGTCTTTTGCCAGCACTATATCCCTAATGGCGTTGAATCTCTTGGCCAGAATTTTCGGGGCTATGTTGAGGGTTTTAAGAGCCTCCTCCATTATTTCCCGGCTGACTCCTATCAGCTTCCGGGACTT